TACTATTAATATTATTATTCAACTCTAATACACACGCCATACACAGCGATAACTAAGTAAAGCGATGGTAAATATAAAGCCATAATCGTTGAAAAATATGTTGACAGAACTACATTCAACCAATGTACTAACTACTTCTTGAGTGACTGAATGTCTATCTGTCAAAAAATATACAGATTCACGCCCCCTTCTACCACGATCGGTCAGGGACATCACGCAGCGTCATTGGTTCCCCCGTCTGCCGGATTTCGTGTGAACAGTGAGTCAAATAGTTTGACACATGATCTCTTAGTTAACCCGTCATTCCTGGCCAAAAGATCAATTCTCTTGCTCGGTATAGTTGGCATTCAGGTGAGCGCGGTGAACGTATTTCAGTGATGACGGGACCAGAATACGGTTTCCCTTGAACAGCAAATCATCGTAGACAGAGAGTTCATCCGAAAATTGAAGTAGGGTGTTAGTTCCGTCAGCAGCCTTTTCTTTGTCTCTGGCCTCCCATTTAGAATAACGTCTCGCAAAGCTGAAAAGGTTGCATCTCCCTCTGTGTGGCGCCTTATTTCATTTAGGCGATCTTCTGTCACCGCCAGATACTGCACAAGATTTACTGTTTCGAGCTCTTCCGGATTATGCTCGGGTACTGGCAGATGAGCACTTGACAGTGTATCCACGATGAACATCTGTGCACCAGGCGTGCACATAATATCCATGTCGTATGTTAGAAGCCAGATAAGCATACGCTGAAAGCGACGAGCACTGAGGTGCAGCGGTTTCTTGACTATGGACACTGCGGTTTAAGGTCGGCATACACAGTTGTCTTTGTTCCGAAGTATAACTGTTGAAGCGTTTAATGGTATAGATTACCGCCAGCATCTCCTTCTCAATCTGTGCATAACGCCGCCCGGTCACGGTGAGTGCTTGATTGCGGAAATGCATTTTTCCATTCTGTAAAAGAACAGCACCTATTCCGCATTGGCTACTGTCACACCGTATTTCCAAAGGCTGCATTGAATCGTAATATCCGAGTACAGGAGCCTTAGTGGTGAGGTGCTTAACAATTACGGATACGGTTTCCTGTTCTTTTCCTCAACTCCACTTTACTCCCTTGTGAGTTAACTTCCTGATGAGCGTAATGATATCAGTGAGTCTTGGCTTAAAACGGCTCAAGTAATTCGCCATACCGTTTAAGTGATGGATTCCCTTCACGTCATTAGGAGGCGGCAGCTCCAGATTTACTTTTTTATTTTTCCTGGATCGACCCTGACCCCTTGTGCTGTTAGCAAATGCCCATGAAAAATCATGTAGTCTTTCCGAATTTTAGTTTTCTTACGTTTAGGCCTAACGTTCTGTTGCACACAACGCTGCAAGAAACGGCGGAGATTAGTGTCATGCTTATCTGGCGAGCCATAGATTAAAACATCGTCTGTCACTACCAATTAAATCGCCTGCCGCTTGCATCAATCGTTATTTAAAATGTTCACTCGATTCCTTCAAAGCAAACGGTAAACGCAGCCAACGAGAACGCCCGAACGGTGTGGCAAATGTAGTAAGGAAACTGGATTCTTCATCTAGAACCACAAACCAGAATACCGACTAGAGGCCTGCCTTCGTGAAACACTCAGCTTTGACCAAACGTGGCAATATGTCTTCTAGGGTAGGCAGCGCATAATGCTCCCTACGCGCAGTTCGCCCGTCTCCTTCAGAATGATTGCGAGCTGACTAACCCAGTCGGTTGGGTCGTCGAGTTTGGCAACCAGACCCGCACTCACTAATTTGCTCAATTAAGCGGAGAACATGTCACCCAGCGCAAATGGAACTATTTTAGCCGGTAGCGCTGTCGGTCGTATCAAAGCATCTAAGAACAAGTGGAGGTTCCATCAAACTTTCCTAAATCCGGGCTAAACACGACGGATACTGATCACTAATATCGGTTTTGCTCTGACAAACATCCACGAAACGATCATGATTAAAAATAACAATTAATTATAGCTGGGCCCTTCGGATGAAGTTCGAAATCATTCTACATCCGTAGGCAACCTTGATCGGATGGAGTGCACATTTCGGGATAATGCTTCCTTGGTAGAATGTTGACAGTAGCTCTCTAACTGGAATGGTACGGTATTGACTTCGACCAAAAGACTTGTGTAGGCACATTTTTGCGGCACCCTCCGGAAAATGTTGCCAATTGAATGTTGTACATCTGTGGGTGATTTGTCACGAACGACCGAACCCACATTGGTTGATCGGCAGCAACGAGCCAAGTGGTTCCTTTGTTCAAATTTGACGCATTTTCGTCCCCACGCTGGACACTGTTCGCGGATGCTTGGGTGTCGCGCAGCGGAAATATTTGCGTCACATCCGGAACCGGCACATAATTCTGCATCAGCGGCGAATTTCATTTGCTGGTACTGATAGGCGGCAGACGACTCACTGTTGCAGATATCGATGCACTGCCGGAGTGATAAGTTGTGTTGTCGCAAAAGCTACTTTGTCGCACTTTCATCATTGATTCCTAGAACGACACGATCGCGCATGAGACTATCGTGCATGTATTTACAGAAATTGCAGAATCGAGCCAAGGTCCTCAATTCAGTGATGTACACGTCGACGGATTCGTCTGGGCCTCTATTGCGCGAAAAGAAAAGATAGCGTTGGTAGGTCTCGTTGTTTTAGCCTTCGCAAGATTCACTGAACTTTGCAATGACTGTCTCCAAAGTATTGGAATCTTCGCCTTTGTTGTATTGCAATATCTCTATCACTCGGAGCGCGTCATCCCCGGCTGCGTGTCGAGACGTGGCCAGACGATACGCTATCGGTTGCTCGTCCAAAGATACTAAGGTGCTGATATCCATCCACTTGCTACTCCATAGACGCGAAATACTCGACAAGCTCCGTTCATCTATGTTCAATGGCGCAGGCATCTGAATAGACGCTGGTGATCCAATCAGTATCTGTGGCCCGTGTGGTTTGCCTCTGTCTTCTCTGATACCATGTTACAGAATTCAGTCCTTCAGGCACAAGCGTTTATTCGTCAAAGTCAAATCGGCGAAAATTACAGCATGTTTAGCAAGCTAAACTTCTCGATATAAACTGCACGTTCAAGTCGATAACTAATGACCTTTCAGAGAGGATGAGGTTCCTCCTTTGCATCAGTTAAACAAACGGTGAATCACTCACACGGATATCGGCTAATCCGAGTCCAGTAATCGAACTGGCGGCATAAATCTGGTAAGTTCGTCGTTTGATGAGGGGTCTACCCTGTTCTCTGCATGACAGTAAAGTGCAAGTGAGCGGCGCTATGTCACATCTAGTAACTTACTCACGATGGCCGTTACAGTGGCTCAGTCCTCAAGCACAGACTGGGAACATTCGAGTTTCGGGTTCGAGCCTCACAGGAGTCAGATGGAATGCGCACTGCTGACGACGTTGAAAGGTTAAAACAGCCGTACTGTGCTCCTCCGGGCATGTGATGGCTGTCTGAGTACAGATGGTATGCATTGCTACCCATACTACTCTACTATCACTACTGTTCCTTTGCAAAATATAAGGTTGATCGATCAGGAATTTTTCGAATATCCTAAAAAATGTTCAATAGTGTAACCAACAGTCGAGTAGCACCAAAACGAATGTCAGTGCATTGTTTATCGTAAAAATTGCACCCGAAATAAATTAAGCACGCCGTGGAAGGAAAAGACTAGCGAATATGACTGTCGCGGAGCTTAGTAGTCCAGTGATCACGGCGCTGGGTGCCAACTATTATGTGTCGAGTTCCACTCCCAACCAAGGCTCCCTGCCTGATGATTCCAAGAAAGGGCGAAGCCGTTGGTTGTGAAGTGCAGAGATAGGAGAGAGCGACACCGAAACCCTTCAGTCCTGCGAGTATAGTTGAGGTAATGAGGCGTCCGTAAGACGTCTGGCTAATCAGTTATAATATATATATATATATATATATATATATATATATATATATATATATATGTATATATATATATATATATATTCAACACTATACCAATTACAATATAATTGGCTGAGTGCCACAGTTATTAGGTTTTGTGGCATGTATCACCGTCGAAAGCACGCATTATCGAAGTGTGGCGGTGGTGACACGAGCTGTCTTCTTCTAAAAGATTCTAATTGAATGTAACGAGTACATGTGGCTGGACGTACGTTTCGTTAAGAAAGAAAATTAAAACAACTGCAAAAGCCAAAATGCTTGGAGATTAAAGCAACGCATAAGCCCCCGGTAATGCAAAGAAAACAAAGGCGGAAACGAGATAACGGTGCTATTGAACAAAATAAACATATCAAAACGAACAATACCTCAATGACTCCCAAACTCAAATGTGCTAACAGGTCCTTCAATACAAAAGAAATCTCTGAGCTAAAACTTCAGACCAAGCTGTGAACTACAACAACTGTGAACTACAACAACCAACTGATCACAGCAAACCCAACAGTAAAACGTGTACGGTGGTAGAGATAGGTCATGCAATCTGACTAATATAAATAGGTGGGCACCGACTAATGAGACTCGATTTACAGTCCTATAACCATATACAGATCACACGGAACGCTCGCGCGCTCTACCCTGATCAATGCAAAATCGCCTCGACTGCCAGGTAGCCAAAACGTAACACAAGAATGGGCGTAAGAGTGAGTGAACGGGGATAAGTTCACTGAGAGTGAAACGTAACTGAACTTGAAATGGGGGCACAGAAGAACGGGACATGATGAATAGGCCGAACAGATGATGTCGAGAAAGCGCAGTCCAGACGGGGGGTAATGCCACTGAGGAGAATGAAGCGGAATTTGGACATGGGGGAAGCAGGAGAGCAATGAAATGCCTTACTTGGCGGTGTCCGTGACGAACAGAGTCCAGAAAGGGGTTTGGCATGCGAGAATATCGTAAGATCAATGGATAACCAAAAAAATGCTTCAAATGTATGATAACCAGAATGGCACGTGTGAAAATTGGAAAAGAAAATGGGAGGAGTACTTACGTCCCGGAATCGCGATATATCACGCAAAACTTGCTGCGCCACGTACTTGCGCAAGTGCGTCACCGTCGCAAGAGCAGACAGTCGAAGATACTTAAACGACAGTGGTTCCAATAAACTGCTACCGGGCTCCAACTGCACATTCACCTGTTCATCATGGCGGTGATAATTCCGATCACTAGCAAGGCCGGCTGTATTCGAGGGGCTGGAAGCCTGGATATCTGCACTGCCAGGCGCGGTGTCTCGGCCATTAGGGGAAAACCTCTCACGTATTAGTTCTAGAAAAAGGAGTACATAAGAGAAGACGTACGTAGAGTACAGCAGGTCAAACTTAGTAAAAGAATAGATTGTAAGATGTTGAAGGATGCAAACAGAATGCCCAATGAAAGAGGGAAGTACAACAAGTGGGATCAGACAAATGCGTGTAAAACATCCACGAAGCACAGCATATAAAAACTCAAAACAGCAGGATAGATTGCAAAAATGAGGTTCTTGGAAATGCGTTTGAAAAAAGGGTGCACCAGGAGAGTGGACAAATAAGGGTGGTCGAATGTGAACAATGGAAAATCATTCGATCGACAGCGGGTGATCTATTAAATTAAGATCCCGTAGAGACACAACAGTTTTTCAGCAGCAACCAAATAATGGACGACAGCCCAGTCTGCGAGAACACTCCTTGGCGAGAGGCGGAAAACACCTCAGCTACGTTGCCCCATTGTGGGTACACAATAATTTTGTTTGTCTACTGTTTATGCAGATATTGAGATCGTCAATTTTGCAGACTCGGGAACACAAAGCCTCTAATTGTGCATGTGAGAAACAATCCGCATACTTCAACAGATTGGTCATAAGCTTTGTTGATAGTGAAGGAAAACGTCATTCGAATTAGGAATCGCGGTCTCTCAAATTAAAATGGTTATCCGCTGGAATCAAAGGAATGCGAGGAGTAATTACATCTTTAATTTTGAAAGGTCTTGTCAAGTGTTGCTTCTACGACGTTACTAATATTTTGTTGCAAGAGGCGTGCCGTTGCAAAGATGTGGTTGGTTGATATTTCGCAACAGGTTAATTGGTGCGCTGATTTTCAGTTAAAGTGGCATCCCTAGCAGATCGAAAAAATTCAAAAATTCTGTTGGACACTTAACCGTTACATCTTCTTTCACAAAAGTGTCGACAGACTTGTATGTGAATGTCATGCTTTGAAGATTGACTGAATAATAGCGTTAAGTTGATCGAAGTCTTTGTTCATGGCCGAAAGAATAGCTCGTTCACTTAACTAATCGTGACTACAATATTTATCTGAATATTGAGAAATGCTTCGTGAACCAGTTCTTCTTGTTGACGTCAATAAACTGCAGAAGTTAGGAAACAGTAAGTCTCCGGGCACCATTCCGTTCCCAATGTTCACTAATTGAAGTGAGAATAGCTCTGCTGAGCGATCATTCTGCAGCGGGACACGCATATTTGAAATTAATTTGAACGTCTTTATGTGTCGCCACAGTCGTTTTTCAGCCAAGCACTAAATTCGTAAGCCGGTGCCGATCAAGGAAGTACAGGTAATTTTTATCTGGAATCTCCGGCAAGCAGTAATAACACGTCCCTGAATGGTCTACTGTTTCTAGGGATATCTTGCAGCGAGCGATCAAGCGTCACGTGCGATTTTGTGTGTGCTATTGTACATACATCCCAAAGGATAAGTTTTCATTTCTGCAATACTTTTCCAATGCTGGAAGCTGTTGAACTGTCACATGTAGGAGTTTCAATGAATTTCATGTTCAGTGACAATTTCAAAGCGGAATGAGCTGTTCTTCCATCTTGTAACAAGGTTGCAGCTATTCCAGACGACGCGAGAGCTAAAGCTGTCATTGCAGGGATCAATCTAAGTATGAAAGTTAGTCAAGTTATTCCTAGTGAGACTAAGAAGAGGATTTCTCCAACAGGGTTATTGACAGTTTGCATTATTTGACAAAGTCTATTTCCACCGCCTGCTGCATTGAAGAATAAGAGATCAGCAGTACGCCGGTACGTCGTACGGCCACTTCGATGCCACGCGACCGTCAGTCGCCCGTAGCTAGGCAGGATCAAACCGGCAGCTGGTCGCCTTGAAGAATAATAAAAACAGTAAAAAACAGAATGCAAAGTAATGACAACGACAAACAATAACCGTAAAGTGAGTGCTATGGTGAACGAGTTAAATTCCAACGTAATGTCACATGAAAATGTTGGCCTTTGTGGCTTCGGATCTGCCGTGACACAAATAGAAAACGTCAAAATCCATCTACTCATAAGTAGTGCAAAAACGTGAATATAAGCGTATAACAATATAACAAAGAAATAAAACAATGAAACGAGACATTAGAATTGACAATTATAAATTGTTTAGGCATAGAAACCTGCTCGTATTCGAATGCAGCGTAGTGTCGAAATTTCAAAGCAATCAATAACACTGCCTCTCTCCATCTCATGGGACCTGGCCACCAACCAACCCTCCCCGTCCATTCGGAGACTCATTGTCAGTTCTCGTCTTCGAGTGTTATGCACACGATGAAAGTGAGTACACAACGGAACCAATTTACACACTCCGAGTCACCTGATCGATGCCACAGAAATCCATTCACAATACAGACATCTGAGGTTGTGCACACTGCAAGAGTAATAAGTGTCGTTCATGGCACATATGAGACAACTCGAGTTGGCATTTGGCTCACCAACGCCATTGGTCATTCACAAATGGTAGGCAAGTTCGCTGTGGCACTGCTGAACCGTAGCCTGCGAGTTCAAACTACAAGTGAAAGACTCAGAAGTTAAGCACTTCTTTGATGCAGTAATAGCAACAGTCTGTCGTGCGCGCACTACAGCATGGTCGGAATCCAGGAACTTCCACAAACTGACCGACAATTTGAAATGCTCTGATATCTGCAGCTAATGGTAAGCTGGTCAGTTTGGATTCAGATCAACTATGAATTCGGTGAACGACAGATGACATGATGTGCGCGTTTGTGCTGCAAATGTAAAAGTTGTGATCAGCACGTAGTTGTATGAATCGATAGTCATTGTCTATTCGGCGTTCATTGTTGTGCCGCCCCGTCTGCTCAAGCCGCGACGAAATGCGAACAATAAAGACGAGCCAAATCGAAGGTTCTTTTGCTTGAGATCATGGAGGAATAAATAGGTTGAAGGCAGTTACTAAACACAAGAACATTGGAGATGCTAATTAATATCAAGTACCACAACACAAAACGGTTCAAATTCAGGGTGCAGCTTGGTGCTGACCGCACACAGATTCGCGCTTGATCTCTGCTTGAGTTCAATCTCCAAATGTAGAACGATCCAATTACGCACCACGGCCCTCGGTTTGAAGGCTGGCTGTAAGTTGGCTCGCGTAACATAAACCAACGCTGAAACGGTCTATTAACTGTTGGCCAGATTCCGAAAGTGGCCCACTTGAGCATTCATGTTAACAGCCATACAGATAAGATATGAAGAGGGACAATAGAATTCTTCTTTCATATCATCGGAACTGAAATCGGTGGGACATAAACCAAGGTGATGTCTAGGTACCTTGTCTCCAGACGGTGCTTACTAATCTTGATGGAGATCGGAAGTCAAACGACACACATGCGGATGTTCACCGACATCTAGTGAAGCGTACTGATTTCAGCATGTTTGCTGAGCCATACTAAGATACTAAATATCTTGAAATACTTACACAATATCGCCAGAGACCCGGAGAGTGTAGTCATAGCCGTCAGATTGGGAAATAGAGAATCGACGATTCTTCCTCACGCTATTAACTTGTATGCATATTTTCGAAACACAGAATACATCAATAACAAGAGAATGAAGAGCAAGAGTTAGCGTTGCCTGTTGGCCTATCTGACACAAAGTACGGAGGTTAAACGAACTAATGTGAAATGAGACACTTGATTTGATGGACGCGACACTTTTACAAATGGCAGCAGCTGCGAGGTCAGCGGAAGTCCGTTGCTCAAGAGACGGAGACGAACAGGGTTGAGAGGAGAGGGAAAAACAAGAAGAGGGAGTATTGTTGACTGGGTGTATGACACTCTACAGCTGTTTATGCCGAAAGGAGAGTTAGATACAATGTGCCCAACCTTTAGATTTCGACAGTCCGATCAACAAGACAGTGGGGTGTACATGGAGACCCGACTAATGGACTTTACCCGGAGCCCTTCGCTCAATAGCCTGATCTACAAGGTAGTGGGGAGCAAGTCCAGCTCGCGAATGTGGCTTCAGACATCCATTGGGATCTGCTAGAGGCAAGTCACATACAAGCTTTCAAGATTTCATCATCATAAACATCAACACACGTTAGCTGAGAGTAAGAAACACGTCTTCGCTAATGTGCCGCAATAGAAAAAGATAAGGTACTAAAAATAACACCAAAGAATTTCAACAAAAATTAAGTAATATAATGATAAATACCATCCTTTTATTTTTCCATTATATCGTGATTGTAAGGAGAATTTAAAGGAGAGCGGGATGGACAAAGGAACGCGCAACACAAACGCCACTAGGCATGTCAGAGAGTGAGTCCAACAAAGCGTGTTCATCGTCCTTCGGATCTTAGCCCGGCAGCCGGGATACACAAACCGACGCCAACTTCGAAATGAGGGTTTTCATTCCTCTCCACCAAGTCATCGCTTGATCTCCACTCATCTTCTTCCATCCACATCCCGGCGCGAAAATAGCACACGACGCGGGAGCCGGTGGGCTGGCATGCGCGATACGTGACGCAGCCATCGGAGTCTGATGCGTGATATAATGATGCTGAGCGATTCACTCACTCTTTCTGCAACAAACACGTGACGCCGAACACATTCATTGTTCACGCGGTGTTCCTATCAAACATGAGCTAAGCTGCGAAGGCAGCGATGATCGAACGTAGCTAGCCACTTTATGTCTGTCGACTTGATGGGCCAGGTTTCACAACAGTATAACAGGGCTGAACAGACGGCTGCATTACAAAATGTGCCCTTCAGGGCGAGAGTGACGTCGCGTCGGTGCCACAGGTGGCGGAGATCGGCAAAAGCACATCGAGATTTTGCTATTCCGTTCGTGCCCTCATCTTCAATACCACAGGCGCTAATATAGCTGCCCGGGTACTTGGATTCCTGAACGACTTCTAGCATATCACTACTGATAGTCAGTGCAGGGGTACGTAACTGCGAATATCGAAGAAGGACTTGCACTTCGAGGGGGAAAAGCATAGCCCAAAACAACTGACAACCAGTGCTAATCGGTCCAGTGCTGCTTA